TTTGGCAATTTTAAGCATTTATTGTTTTATTAAAAAACACTGGTTGATTTAATTAAAAGCATATCAAGAAATTATTCTCGGAAAAATCAGGTTCATTAGCATTGTAGCATGATCAAGAAATTGCTTACAACTTTACTTGATTGGTATAAATTAGCAGATTCTTGCAAAGCTATTAAAATTCGGTTATTCTATGTGAGAGATGGAGAAAATAGCAAGGATGCAAGGAATGCAAGGAAGTTGACATACCTGAATGTAAGGCCTATGAAGAGTCTTTACTTCCGATGTGATTCCTTCCGAAAAATAAGTTTCATTAATTCTTCGATACTTTTCATCAAAATTGTCATCTCGAAAAGAATGAAATATTGCTTCATTTGTTGACATCTGAATGTGTAACGGAAAAGGAATAAAATGGTTGTTGAAAATTTAAACAGTTTAATGAATGGATGCAAGGAAAATGTCAACTTTACGTAATTGAGCAAAAAACATTTTAGAATTTATAAAGTAAGAATAAAAAGGTAAGAAGTGAAAGAATATGCTTGAAATATTGGAAATTTAGACTTTTGAAATATCCAATGAGTAAATTAAAAGCGAAAAAATTTTAGGAAACGAATAAATACTTCGTCATTCACATTGACAATGTTTGGCTCTTTGTAGAAATTGTTTTTTAATTCTTCTTGTCCTCGGTATTTCATTGACTTTGTAGAAGTAAGAATCGGTGGTTGTTTGCTACCGTAGTGTACACTAAAATTAAATTGCCAACTTGTATAGTTCCAAAAGGTAATCTGAAATTAAAAAAAAAAAAAATGTCCCACTACTAGAGAAGATCTTAAAAATCAATTGATAGTTTTCAACAATTAGAAACTAAATCATTCTGGAATATTCAGCTAAATAATTCGCTCATTCCTTTCAAATAAATTAGAAATTGAAAAAGAAACAGCATTTTACAATGTAATGTCATGTTTTGGATAATTAAAGCTTAATTTAGTGGCAGGAAGGATTTTCATAATGACCCCAGGGGATTGGCAAATTCAGTAAGGACAAATCGGCGCATAATAAGATAATTTTTTATCAAAGAATTTTTCAAAAAATAAAAAAAGAATTATTCAAAATAATTTGGAAATGACAATAAATGTGATTCTTTCGTTCTTCGAAAATGCTGAGAAAGTGAAAGAGTACGGTAAGAGTATTTCGAAATTCTCTTTTATTCAACCAAATACTTAAATTTGTTCCTCAAAAGTAAAAAGTTTGTTTCAAATAATTTTCCATTTTTTCTTTAATTCTTCATTTAGCGCAGTTTATTTTTACTGTAAGAAATTCATTGGTACATACCATACGATACCAGCAAGAGTACCAATATTAAACTAGTTTTATCATCGTCCGCCATCATGATTCATCATCTGATTACTTCAGGGAACAGAAAATTTTTAAATATCTAATTTAAGGTTTGAATCTTTGAAAAGAATGGAACAATTGAGGAATATAATGAAAAGAGAAATTGTCATGAGATGGAAAAATTCATTCTAAATAAATTGAAGAAATGAAAACGACCATTCTGACCATTAGATATAATTGGTTAATGAGGGTTTTGATAATTTGAAACAAATCAATCAATAATATATAAGTGTTGCATCTCATTCGAAGGATTGTGCAACTAAGGTCCTCAGTTTCAGCTCTCTGCTATTATACGGAAAGTGATACTGAAGAAGTTATTTTTGATGCCTTTAGCATTCAATTCCTGGCTATACTACTTACGGTATTGATGACGATTTTTGAAATGTTGAAGTAAATGGATTATCTGATGCCGAATTTGATGTCTGATCGATATCATAAGCAAAAGTTGTCATCCGATTTTGTTGGCTCAAATTAAAATCAGAATTCCCAGAGAATATATATGCCGGTGGCGGTAATAATATGAATGGCTCTATAAATTTCAAATTTCATAAATTATTTCCAAATTTTAAGAGCATTGCCAAAATTCAAAATTTTGAGAAATGATCTTTTAAAACTTATATAACTTTTGCAAAATTTTTGGTAAAGTAGCCTAATTTGATAGATATTGAATTTTGCAATAAATCACTAAAAGTTGTTAATTGAACGGTTATGAGAAAGCTGAAACATTCGTTTTCAACCAGGATTTCATTATTTTCCGAAATGAAATAAAAATATTAGAAAGAATGGAAAATTAATTGGGACGAATACTAATAATCGACCAGATGATAATGAAAGAATTAGTGGACAGAGAAAGGAATGCATAAATTGTGCTACATATATTTTAATAATTTTTCATCAAATTTTTACCTGAATTAATAAATTGCCTAGTAAATGATAACAATAAAACCAGAAAGATAAGGGAAGAAGTTCCACCGGACATAATCACATATGGAATTTTAACAGGAATCCAGCGTATCATCACCTTGTATTACGATAACTCACTACCTTTATTGTTGAAAGAAATATCGCCACTTTATCGCATCTATTACTAAAAAATTGTCAAAGAGTTCAGAGTTTTGAAAAAAATTTTGAAAATTTCATGCTACATTTGCGCGTATTTTCTCATTCAGTCTAAAAAAAAAAGAAAAAGATTTGCAGAATTTGCTACTACAATAAAAACGACGAAAATGACATACATCAAGTTCTATCATTTTCTTTTTTTTCCCTCTCTCTCTTTCTCTCCCTCTCTCTTTCTAATAGTCATATTTTGTATTTTTGTTAAAAATAAATAAATTTGTCATTTCACTATTGCGATGAGTAAGTTGCTGAACCGTAACATATCGGAAATAGCGTGCATACGAGTACTGTGTGATTTATTTATTGTAGATTTCAAAATGTGTAAATATTACTATTACAATAAATATACATGCAAATAAATGCTCGGTCAAGGAGAAAGAATTGGGTAATTTGTTTGCTTGTTGCTAAAACTCTGATTCATGATATCCGACTTTTAGCAAATTAAATTCAATTAAAAGTTAGGTTCTGGCCATCAGGCGATGAATTGCTACTTTGTTACTTCAAGAAATATCGCAAAGAGCTGAAAAGAAATTAATTATTAGTTTTCTTCCTCGTACATCGTTTCTTTAAATTTGCATAAACAGCTTCATATAGTGGGATCCAGAAACTTTATTGCATATATTTTTCCGCCATCAATTTTGGATTAATTATTTGAAAGATAATGATAACTTACCATTATAAACACAATCGGTAAAATGTATGATTAGTGTTATCATGGCTAAGATGACATTAAAGGTCACTATCAGGCCATCACCATTATCTTTTTGAAAAGATGGAAAAATGAATTTTTCACTTGTTAAAATGTTGTTGTCGAATTTTCGAGTTCTTCGATGAGTTTTTGATGTTGCCAAGAAAATGATTTGATCAAATTTTCAATTTAGTTTTGCATAAAGAACTCATAAATCAAATGAGAAAAAATTCTAACTTTAGTTCGAGGATTGATATGATTTTTTCTTTTTTCATTAGGATGAAAAATTTTCCGAAAATATTTAGAATTTTCGAAAATTATACCTCTCGCGATTTGGAAATCCCATGTTCTCAATCTTGGTTGGAATCCAAAAAAAGCTTATACAATCGGAATTTTGAAAAATGACATGATGAAATGATGTGATGAAATAAAATGCAGAAGAAATTGAAAATTCACAAAATTGTCAAGCATTAAATGGCGATAATTAATGAAAGGAAAAAAATGAATGGTCGAATATGAATTGAGGGAAGGAATGACTTGGATAATTAAGTTACTGAGAGATTTTGTTTTGATGAAAGAGAAGAAAATTTCTAAAAAATCATATAACAAAACGGGAAAATCAAATCGAAAGTAGTTTAGCGAGTATTAGTGAAGAAAGATCAAATGTGGTTTGTTGAGGTGAAGTATTTAGGCCAGATTTGTGAGTATTCAATGGAATATTTAATTTCATAGAATGATGGAGATGAATTTTCGCTGTTGAAATGATTACCTAAATATGAGTCATCACTATTTGAGTAGTAATGATAGCATTAAAATTAATATCACTATTATTGTCAACTGCACCTTTGGTACTATCATTAGTTTAAAGTTTTCAAGTTTTCTTGACTGAGGCAATTTTATATCAGTATTTATATTACCATCCATGCAAAACAATTATCTTCATTCTTCTCATAACTTTTTTAAATCACTAATTTTTGGCATCAAGCAAAAGAAAACTTTAAACTCATAGAATAATAAATTTAAATCGGATCATAATGTATGCATGATATTATCGATCTTTAACATCATTTTACCGCTAGTGATAATATCAAAGGGCAGTTGACAGTTATCATTTTTAGGTTGACAATGAAAATATCATTTTGTGCAATGCAATAATCCTTATAAATTAGGTAATACTTATTATTTGTGATGTGCATGGGTATATATCGCTAATAAAATAAATAACATCACAATTAATTCTTTTTCAAGGGCGAAATTCTACCTGCTGTAGAAAGAATAAGAAGGGAAAAGGTTAGCAGTTGAAATTAACCTGAAATAAAAGATTGTAAAAATTCTCCAACTAGTTGCAGATTATGGATGTTCAGAAGAAGGATTATCTACGTGAATGAGTTGCCAGATAAGATGACAGACTAAAGAGATTTGTGTCCAAAAAAAAAAAACTATGAGAAAAGATAAAGTAAAAGATCTTTTGAAATCCATTTCTAAATGATCACTTTCATTTCTAGAATTTATCAAATATACCAAATAATTACAGTTTAACAGTTCGATGCGATAATGGGAAAAAGGATAATAGCATCTATAATTATTGTTGAAAGTTTTGAAATTATTTAAATTTTCCCCCTTACTTAATATGATATTTGAAATTACTATTTATTAATTCAGAAAAGAATTTGCAGTGCAGGAATGTCTCAAATCCATTCTGTGGAAAAAATTTGAACAATGATAATGGAATGAAGACAAGGTACGAAGCTCATTGATGCTATAATACAACAAGATTTCT